TTTAGAACTTGATTAACTAAATAACACATTTTTCAACCCATAAGTATTACCTCCAGGAGCAGAAGCTGGTCTCAATTCCTCTGCACTGTACAAGATAAATATTTTATAAATGAATAATAAACCCAGCAAATTTTAACTTCAACATTTTAAATGATTACTCTGAAAAAATGTGACTAAACACAAAAGCTTAGAACTAATTAAAAGGTGTGCAGCCATGTCCCCTTAAGAAACATTATCTGTCATCCAACCCCATATGTCTCCAAGACAAGGCAGAAACAGCAAGACTGCTAAACTGAAATCAGCAGGCAAAAAAGACATAACTGAGTGCAATCAGCATAAATGGTGATAACTCAACCCATAACAGAGAAAAATAAAAGAGAAGGCATACAGATTTTGAAGAGCATCAGCCCTGAGGGACACCATAACACACCTGTGTTAATAAGTTAGAGAAAAAAAGATGTACTTAAATTGACTACCACCTGACAGCTAAGAAGCAAGTTAAGAATGTGTGGTTTTCAGAGAGCAAAAGGGTAAACCTGCTTGTAACATGCAGGATTCCAGTTGGTCCTGGCTTTACTGGAACTGCAGTGTCTTTCTTGTAAGGAGGTGAAACAGGGTTTCATGAAAACCACAGATTTTGCAGAGTCAGTAAAATATTTCCTCCATTAAGAATCAGTATCCACTGGGTTGACTGCAGTAGATTCAGTAAAGTTTCAAAGCCTTGGTAAAGAACAGTCACTCCTCTCTCTGGTGACCTCTGCAAAATTTCTCAAAGACAAAACAAAACAGACCAAAACCCTTTTCTAGTGTAAACTGGTGCAGTTCAGTACAGTGGAATTTTGAGCTACAACAGCTTTGCTGAAATGTTTTAAAGATTTCAGGATAATCAAGCAACTTGAGTTAAACTGCAGAAAATTTATAAATAATCACAGCATTTTGCAGTCGGAGTGACAGACACTGCGTCCATGCTTCATTCCTTGGTGCCTTATGTAGCTATTCCCACCTGATGGTAAAACTGCTACCAACTAAGGAGTTTCCAAACACTAAATTCTGATTATCTATTCTAGTGTGCAAAGGTGCTGATCCATTAAAAATTAAACCAATAATCTTGCATTTATTAAAATGTTACCTTTGTCATGCCACCATCAGGAAAAGTATGTATGAAATGTTTTAAAGTCACAATAAGAATAGCAACGATACTATCTGTTTTTGTAGCCTCAACATAATTCTGACATAACTATAGTCAAGATAAATCATCTTAAAGGATGGTCTAAATTGAAGAGTGTCAGGATTAAAGCACAGGCACAGTCCCAAATAAAGCTACATCTGCCATCATATATCATTTTTGCAATTAGATAGCTAATTGAACTTACTCAAGAGCCAAGTTATTGAAGCTCCAAAACATTATTGGAAAAGCAAAAGTAATGAACATAACAAATACCTTGCCTGTACAATTTTGGGACAAAAGATTTTACATTTTTATAATTTTTTTTTAAATTCAAGAGATCACTTTTATTATTTTTTGCTGGATTAAAAATTTATTTCATAATTGTAGAAGAATTTTTGAAGACTGAAATTCTCCAGCAAACCATAGAATACCAACTGTGCCAACAGTGATGTTAAAATACCTGAAAAACCCATCTATAATGGAGCACAAAAATCTTTCTCTGACTACCACAATAACAATAATGTCTCTTTACAGAGCCATTGTGCATATATGTAAACTTCCCTGAATGAAAAGAACAGAGCAGTGCTCATGCCTTTCTAAGACACTTTTAGCATTATCTCTCAAATAAAAAAATATCTCTAGATTGTAATCTTTCTCTCCTACTGGTTGCAGTCAGATTGCACTGAAGAAATTTTTATAATTTGAAATGGGTTAGAAAAAAGGTAGAGCATCAGAAGATGAAATAATCTTGATCAAGAAACAACCCTGCACTTTGCTCTGCAAAAAAATGAAATAGATGAAGAGCCAAAAGTGGAAGTATAATTTCTGTCATTGATCTCTGCTCTAACATTTGATTTGATTGCTAATATATTTATTCTTTGCTATTAATATGTAAGAATATCTAATCCCTATTTTTAACATCACAATTTAAATGCTCAATTTTAAAACTTCCTTTTCTGCCAGAAGTACATTCACAAAACATACAGACACTAAGTAATCAGTTAATTATTCCCAATGCAAATATTAAATATTGAAAAAGATAACTGGCTACAAAGATCGTGATAAAACTCAGGAAAATATATATTTAAAAGTTTGATTGAAATAAAAGATACCTAATAGAAATTAAAATCACATTTTGTTTTAAAAAACATTATGAGTGTTGATAAGTAATGATGAAATTCTGGTCAAATCTGTCTTTCAGTTTGAGACAGCTCTTTATTTTCACATCACAATTCTCACAAAACTCTGCTGCTCTCTATAGCTGGAGAGTGTTGCTAGTTAAAAAGCACATGGTAAAAAGGCCAAAACCTCCTCCATTATCTACTTTTAAGTCTCTTTTTGGATCTCACCCAGGTCACGGCTTCTGTAAAATATTAGAAAACACTTAGGCAGCCAATGTACTGTATCTACTGCTTCTCCTAATGCACTCTTCTGTCATTCACCTGCTCCTGCTTATTCTGGTCAAGGTAGCTGCTGGGACACAAGCTCTTGTGAGCAGGAATCACCATTTTGCCACACACTTCTCAGTGTGTTCCCATCCTCATGCTTCAATGTAAGGTGGTCACTAGGAACAGCAAATCCTGCATATTTCTGGCTGAGAGAAAAGGAAGGGAGAGGAACAACTGTCGGATTTTATTTTGGAAGTGTGTGTCACTATGTTGAATGTCATCAATATAAGAACTTAATTGACAGAAATTCTTCTGTCAATTGATTGATCAAGATTGATTTGACAATAACAAAGATTTACAAAGACATCAGTTCCACATATAATTAAACCACTGCCAAGACCTCTAAAATATAAAAAGATCACCTTGCTGAAGAGAAATAATCTTCTACACACCTTTGCAATTGCTCTTAGCTGAACTGCTTTCCATTTTAATTTTATTTTTTTTCCTTGTTCATTATTTTAGTTGTAAGTTATTATCAGTCAAACTGCATAAAAACATAGCGAGGTTATCAGAATACCTGAAAAGTATTAGAATATCAGAAAAGGGTTTCATGGATAATGAAAGCAGATAGGGAACAGAATGTTTTCAATGTTTTGAACAAGATGTTGTCTTTGGAAGGCCTGAATTACTCAAATCTGAACACCACCAAATGCTGCTGGGAGTTACACATAATAGCTTAGTCTAGGCCCATTTCTAGATAGTCAAGTTATTCGGGGTGACAAGATTTACAGACACAGCTTCTCAGCGTGAACAGCATGCATGGAAAAACATATGCTAAGGTGAAGGTTTTCTGCCAAACTTACTCATTGTCACATGGACTAGTTGTTGACAGGGGAGTTCAATTGCATATGAGGTTTGCAGTACAGCTATTGAAATATTGCATAACGTTAGATTAATGTAGAGATTTGTGTGCGAGGAAACCAACTGCCACCTGTGGCTTCTGCATCACTGCTATTGGTCTTCATGAGCTCTGAGCTCCACGTAGGTCATCCTATTCATCTACTCACTATTGGAGTAATCGAACACAGGAGAGTACAGAAATCATCCCAGATATCCCCCTGCAAAAATAGAAAAGGAGGTTTTCCAGTTTTTCAAATGCTAAATGAGGAATTTGAATGAAAAAAAGGGTTTTCACTGGCACAGAGGTCAGTGCAATATTTAGCACCTATGACAATCCTAAAATTCCATAGTATTCCATCAAGAGTATTAAAAATAATTACTAATGTATAAAATCTTATTATATTTTTATTTTAATTATTTTTCTTGACTTTTTGATTTTAATATCATTAGAATTTTCTAAATCTTTTACCTAAGTAGAACAAATATAGTAGAACATACACTATTCCATAGAACATATGTGGAAATTTGAAATTCTGAAATAAAAATCCTCTTAGTGAAATACTGAAAACAGATCATGATGTTGATGCAATTTAATGGTATTCTAGAACTTATTCATGTGAGATTTTACTTTAATGCATCAGATATTAACTGAAAAGTATAAGTACCTAATATTAAAATGTAATGAAATTGTTTCCGCAATCATGCAAAAAATCTTGACTGTTACAAATTAGACAACAAAGTTTGCAACAATATGCTGCGCTACAGCTGCATCAGCAATGTAACTTCTTTTGCAAGGAGTAAGTCTGAAGAAATATTTCACTTAAGTCTTTTAAAAACCCTTCAAAAATGCCATCTGGTTATGGCCATTAACTATGGGAAGAGATTGAAAGGAGTGGCTTTACAGAAATATAAATAAGATATTGTAGCACAAGACAAAAAGAACAAGAACATTCCAGCTCTACTGCATAGTAGTTATTTTCCCTAGTAAATATATTTTTCTGGGGAACAAGACAAAAAATGAGAAACCACACATGGTCGGAAACCATTTTTAAATCTCATATCCCCATAATGTTTCTTTTTTACAAATAAGGGAATATCACCATATAACTGAGTTAGGAAGGTATAATACTTCTAAAAAATAGTCTCCTTCTAAAGAAATTAAATACCAATGCAGTGAAAATGACAACATTGTTTACCACGGAAATAATATTTGTACAAAACACGACACAATAACATCTTCTAAAACAACTGAGCAGCAATAGCAATGCCACTCTGTGTTTCAAATATTTATATTCAATGTATTTATAATAATCTTCTCAAAGGTTTGTGAGAAATAAATCTAATCTCCCCCTCTTTTTTCAATCTATGCATGGTATATGTGCTAACTTACTGAATTCATCCTTCATGCAATTCCAGTTTATTAAAGAGGTTAAAAATTTATAAAACTCTGATGGGATATGGTTTTAATGCTTCATCACACTACCCATCATTTGCTTTTCAATCTAGATCAGAATGATCTTTCCGACTTCCCTGCAATCACCTACCTGCACAGCTAATATTTTCTGAGCGTTCTCCTGAGAGGCTGCCTGGATCCTCGCCAGCCCAGCGTGGCTGGAGAGGCCGCTCCGGCTCCACCACACCGCCAAGTGAGTCCCTGCTCCACCGCCTCTGTAGCGCCTGCAGCTGGGACAGCAACACCAACAGCCACGCCAATGCCAAAAGCGGCAACGCCAACACCAATGGCCATGGTAACAGCGATGGGGGGGCTGGGGCAGGAGGAACAGGCAAGAAGGTGGGGGGAGGAAGGAGGGGAAAAAAAAAAACCAGGAAAAAAATTAAATTCCCAAGTCAGAGTAGGAGAGGAAATTAATGGCAGCGTTCAAGAAGAATGATGGAGGGAAATATAGAAAGCAGTCAATAGCCCATTCTGCGCTGTACGGACCTGACAGGAATTTCACAGTCTCTTGGTTTTTCAGCCCACTCATGTGCATTCATCAGAAACCAGTCACATCTGGCTGCCAGGATGGGGGGTTAATTTTCTCTAAATGCCTCAGTAGTTTTGTTCTAGCTGAGGCAAACTCTGTGACTGCAAAGCTGATGAGTAAAATATTTCTACTTCACCCAGTTTAACTCAAAACCGATAGCCTCGGGACATATTGAACCTTTCTTAAAAAAATAATCTTTTGAAGCTTTTTAAATGGCACATCAGGTCAGGCCAAAGTTTAAAATGCAAGTTTAAGACTTTGATGGACACAAGGGCTTTTTTTTCCCTGTATAAAGCTTATCATAGCTTGGCAATGTGTGCTTTAGTGCATGACAAAACTAAAGAGAATTAACTTAGCCATCAACTGCTCAGGGAGAACAATAACAGGAAAGAAATTTCCATATAGAAGTTCCTATTAATCTACCCGGCTATAACCACATGACAAGAAAACATCTAACAGCACTAAATTGCATCAAATGTGGAAGCTGAGAGTGACACTACTTAAAAAAAGGATTTTTATATATCACAGAAAAGATAACGTTTATCCTAGAAATTGCATTCACTGCAAAGGATCCTAACTGAAATTATTCCAAGTGGGAGCACTTACCTGATAGCCTTTTACTATTTGCTAACAGTAATTATTGTTACAATCCATGGTTAAGAATAATATCAGTTTTTCCTTAATCTACAAGTATTTGGAACTCATAAACACAGTGTGGCAGGTCTTGGTCTAGAAGGAAGCTGTTTAAAGAGATCTGAAAATCTACCAATACCGAATGTTTTTGAAAAAAGCGATGTTTTTTGGCAAATTCTGTAAATACTGCTACATACTTTAGTCTAGTTGTAACGTAGAAAGTGGAAATTTAAACCACCTAATTCATTGCTTAGTGGAAATATACGGGGTTGTGTTTCATCAAGTTAATTATTTCGATAAATTCTATAGCTATTGTTAGCATGAAGCCTTCAAGAGTATGCCTGTCACCCAGATTAACACAATGGATTGTACCATTCCTTCGGAAATATTACATTTCATTAAGGTCAATGCCACAGGTCAATAATTGGATCAGTTATAAAGAAGCTTTTACATGATAAGATATGACTGCTCTTTAGGAGCAAGCGCAGTGTACCAGGTGAAAAATACTCTTTTTCAAAAGAATGTAGATTATAGTAATATCAAGTGAGCTATTACAGCCTAGAGAATAATTAATGCACATTTTCAAAATTAATGGCCTGATTTTCGGAAATACTGAGTTTCCACAAGTCCCATTAGATTCCATGGAAGCTGTGAGTATGCTGCATCTTTGTAAATGAGTCTGTAAAATATTAAATCAGGTATTTGTACATAATATTTTGTGTTCTGTCAATGTATATTAGAAATAACACGAGGGAAGGTAGAAAAACTCAACGGAAAAATAAAAAATTATCAACTCAAATATTATATTTTCCAGTGTGAAGAACCTTTTCTAAGTGCCAGAGCTCCTTTCCTCCTATTTTAACAATTATTTTGTTTCCTGAAATCTGTCTTTTTCTGTTTGCCTGCTGTTAATTCAACTCTTTTCAAATATCAATTTTGTGATACCATTCTGGGGTCTGAAAAAGAATGCAGGTGAAAGAAGGGCAAAGCATAGCAACCTAGGACATTTTAGTAAAACAACCTGCTTCAGCCCTAGAAAAACAAGCTGAAAACAATTTTTGGATTATCAAAACACTGGCTTTTGTAAAAAGCTAAAATAATTGCAATATATGCTGTTGTGATAAGGAAAATGGTGTCTGGGGGAACATATGAAAGCATTTACCAGTGAACGGTGAAAAGGATTGGTGGTTATTCAGTTGAGTGGCTATCCAGTTTCTTGTCTTGAGAGAATCAAAGACATTCAAAAGTTTTGAGATTTGGCTATTTGAAAATTGCCATATTTATTGAGAAACTAGCAGGTTATAATGGTTGGTGTCCAATACAGTCTTTGCTAATGTTTCTCATTTCAAAATTACAAGTTCATGAAAGCTGATACTGTTGTAGTACCACATTTCAAAATGTATTTCATATTGCAAAAACACTTTATTGTGCCTAACATAATGAAGTCTAAACCACACATTTATTATCTTTACAGTGTTAATTGCAATATAAATAACATTTATGCATACAATCAGAAATATAGGTCTATGAGAAAGTAACAACTTGATCAAATAATGTTGCCTGCAATCTTAGAATAAAATGATGGGCACACTAATATAGGAGAGACCAAGTGAATCCCTGAGTCAACAGCAGACCCTTAGCTGAGTCAATGATTTAAAAAAAAAAAATCACAAGTAATGTTTAACCCAAAAGCAGATTTCATAGGCTTTGCCATGATGTCCCTGTCTCTACAGACACCCATACTGATCCTGTAGATCCTCTTTGCAGTCATATAACAGATTTTATTAGCTTTATTATACAGTTATTAGGTTTTCCTTATATTTTATATTTTTTTGTCAGCTGTAGAGACTTAAGAAGGCATGGTATGTATGAGTTAAACATATGATATTGTTGCTATCTCCTTTTTTTTCAGTGCATTTTTTTTTTACTGTTTAAGAAACAAACTGTTTCCTAAATATTCTGAACACTTCAAGCAAAATGCTGGCAGAGAAGGTAACAGTACCCATTTCCAGTGTCGGAATATGAACAGTAGCTAAGTATTTCTATGAGATTTACTTTGGTTTTGATGTTTACCTTGCTGTGGGAGCAGGACTGAAGGAAAAAGGAAATCAAAAGACAAGTAAGCTCCAGATTTTGGGGATTCAAAAGGAAAGGAAACCCCGGGATCCTTGTTTCTGTTGTCCTTGAATCTGCCTTGGCTGCAGCTGATACAGGCTGATGGTAGGGGACAATTTTTGCAGCAAGTATCTTGTCCTAGTCCTCATCCTACAAACACAGAAGGAGTGAATAAATGGCTTTGCTGGGGAGACACCTTTGGAAGTTGCTGGAGAGGACCAGTGATGTCCTCAAGGGGTTGCCCTCACCATTCCTCTGCTTTAGGGCTTCACTGCCATTTCCCTTGTGTTGTGGCTCCCCTCTGTGACTCACAGCAGAGGGGGAACATATGACTCCATGGTCATTTAATTCCTCCTTTATATGTGGCACTATATCATCAATAATATCAGCGTAAATTTGGGAACAGGAAGTGTGAACTAGCTGACATTGCTATCTTACAAGAAGGGAACCTTATGATTCGGGGTACCTTATTCTGTTCTCAACTTTAAGTTTTTTGTTATGATACATCTAGATACTTCATTCAATTAATGCCCGACTTGCATAATATGATTGAAATCAAGCCAATATCTTAATCTGTAATTTCTTATTTGAGGGATAAACCTGGATTAAAAAACATATGATACTATTTGAAGCTGAGGCCCATTTGTTATTCCAGCGGCATTAATTCTAGGCCCTCATTAATTGATTCTGTCACTATATTTGGATTCCCTATACTGCAAAAAAAGTTAAACTGAAAGAAAATCCCACATAGTAAGAAGTAACTGCATCTTATTTAGGTCAGAACACTTTTTACTTTTGTTGTCTGGCAGTTCATAAGAACCCAAAATTTTCCCCTGCTTATCTTTATTATTAGAGTCTAGCTGCATCGGGCTAGACCAACACAGATTGCAGACATATTTCACAATGAACACAAAACTAGGGTCGTTTAATTGTTTAAATGTCAAATGGCATGTGGCCCCACTAAGAACACAAAGTGAACAGCATCTGGAACTCAGTCCTGATGCTTTTTCTCTGTCAATAACATACTACTTGAACTACTTCAATTGCCAGTTTTAGCCAGCATCGTGCTAGCATCATATTGGGTTATGATAGAAACCTAATTCCCCTTCTTAGCTGTCTTTAAATTGTGAGATCCAATTGATCTCAATACAACTGTTCCTCCTTTACACCTGAGAATGCAAAGACCCTCTATGAATAAAATGTTATTTTTTAAACAATATTATAATTATTCATAATCACAGAATATGCTGAGTTGGAAGGACCCACAAGGATCATTGAATCCAACTCCTGGCCCTGCACAGGACCATCACCAAGAGTCACACCATGTGCCTGAGAGTATTATCCAAATGCTTGTTGAACTCTGTCAGGCTTGGTGCTGTGACCACTTCTCTGGGGAGCCTGTTCCAGTGCCCAACAACCCTCTGGGTAAAGAACCTTCTTCTAATATCCAACCTAAACCTGCCCTGACACAACTTCAGGTCATTTCCTCACATCCTGTCACTGGTCACCACAGAGAAGAGATCAGTGCTTGCCCCTCCTCTCCCCCTCATATGTTCTGCAATTAGAGTACATACATCTAAAGTGTCTGGTCCATTAAAATTGCAAGATTCTCGATCACATAGAAGATAATAGATATTAATATAGGCAAAATTATTGTTCTGGTTGTCTCAAAAGAAGATTCTCTTTAAATTTTGTCAAACTTTAAGTATTAGATCTAAAAATGTGCATGGTAGGTGTTTGCCTTAGGCTGAATTTTTTTGGATAGCCCAGTCGGTTTGCTTTTTTTCTCAGGTATTCTGCTCAGGTATACATTATTCTGCTCCTGTTGCCAAATTATACTGGTATTTCCTTTACTAGATGAAGCATGCAAAGAGAGCTCACATTTCAAAGGGAACAGTATTTTTGTATGTGATATGACTTTTTCATAAAAATATTCTGGTGAAAACTGTAAGTCTTTGGAAAACTATTGACTGCATAGCCACTAGTAAATGTTTCCATTTTTATCAACCAAATTTGTTTTAAATATTGTCCTC